TAAAAGAAGGGGAGAGATTATTAATGCTTTTATGGTCTCATTGATTCGGGTGGCCACGTCTTATAAGTCGAATGCAGTATATAATGATCAAACACCTTATCCAAAAAAGTTAAAAAATAATAGATTGCTAGTATTTGATTAATGCATTTATGTTCTAATTGATTAGGGTGGCTACCTGTTACAAGTCAAATAAAGTATATAATGATCAAACATCTTATTGAGAAAACTTTAAAATAGTCAATTGCATGCATTCAATTAATGCATTTATGGTATCATTGACTCGATAGCCAAGTGTTAAAAGTCAAATTAAGTATATAATAATCAAATAGCTTGTCGAAAAAAGTAGAAAAATACTCAATTTTGTGTGTGTGTTAAATTAATGCATTTATCGTCTCATCGATTCGGATAGTAGTGTATAGTAAATCAAATTTAAGTGTGAAATGATCAAACTATTAATCGACAAAATTAACTGCAACCAATTAAGCATATTAGTTTTTGAAAGTTGAGTTTCGAATTTAAATTCAGATTTATAAATTACAACATTATCAAGATGAAACAACTACTATTACAACATTCGTTTAAAAAAATAATAATAATAATAATAAATTATTACATTACCTAAGATTACTCAGAGAGAGAGAGAGAGAGAGAGAGAGAGAGAGACCCCAACCCAAATTGGATAAAATTGTAATTATATTCAGTTATTCACATCAAATATTTTGTTAATTGTACTACATTTTAGTTGCAATAAAGGTTCCTAATTTTTCTCATTTCAGCATTTATGTCTTCAACTTTTTTTTCATCTCATTTTTTTTAAAACTTCAATTAATTAGGACATATTGTCTCTAATTACGATCTCTATAAAAATATTATTCAAATGTAGGAAGAATTTATTTTCGAACTTTCATATTTTTTATTTATCTTACTTATTATAAAAACACTTAGAGGAAATAGATTTTTTTTTTACTTCCTCTTAACCATTTATTTGGCATCATCAGTGACAAGATATGTTAATTAATAGAGGTTGATGAAAAACATGAGAAAATAATAATAAAAAAAAGAGTTAAAATTAAAAATCTTCAATATAATAAAAAACAGGAAGATTTCATATTTAAGAGATTAAGTATGATCCATTTCAAAACTAAGAAATAATGTTTCAAATTTCAAAAATTAGATATTAATTAAAATTTATTTATGTAATAATTAATTAAAAATATATTTTATTAATTCAATGTATTTAAGGTCACAATTTCCATATTATCTGGTTGCAAATTATTGAATTAACTGATGACAAATTATTTTTATATCATGGATAAAAAAATTTAGGGGTTACAAATCAAAAAATTTATAAGTCATAATATATTCATCGGTCATAAACAAAAAAAAAATATAAGTCTCAATTTATCTATCGATCACAAATTATAAATGTTATAAGTCATGACTCAAATTTTTTTGTCACGTGTAACCCTTGTTTCAACCCCATTTTGAGGAGAAGAATGTATTTTTAAATAGTGATTGATGGAGAATGTGTGGTTAAAAATTAAGAAAATTTTTTAGATTTGCGTGTAATATATTTTGTTAAAAAATGTGCGATTGAAAATAAATCTTGAAAAAATAAATTTTTAGAAGAATGAGGATCAAACAAAAACATTATTTATTGGTTATAAGATATCCAATTTATTGGTCACAATTTCAAATAATTTGTTACATATTATTTATTGGTAACAAATTAAAAAACTATTGGTCACAATAACTAAATAATTATTCATAGTCCCTCTTTACACAACCGTAACCCAACGCAACCCTATCCCCACTACCAGAACCACCATTAGGACCACTAATGCCTGTACTAAGAATCAAAACTACCATTTCCACCAAACCACCACCACCAAACCAAAAAATCCCGAAATCTACTGTCACCACCACCATGACCATCATTACAGCGATCCACAACTATAGCCATCATCACCACCATCTCACAATCACAGTCCACTAGAACTCACAACTATCACCTCCTCTATGTCCACCTCCACAATACCATCCCCACCAAAAATCCCCAAACCACTGCTACGGTAGCCATGAACTCCATAGCACTGTAATTGCCACATCGATTTCTCCAATGTCACATGCCACAAGAATCGCTGCAACACCTCGCGAGGCACTGCAAATAGCCCAGAGCAGCATCACCTTCACCGTAGCAGCACGCCTTTTCGCTTAGAGGTCCAGCTCCAGCTCCAGTAAAGAGAGGGTGGGAAGAGAAAAGAGAGCTGGGGGGAGAGAGATATCTCTTCACACATATCCGACTCTAGTAGAGTCGTAGAGAGGGAAAAAACTTAGGTAGGGCGGTCACACCACCAATGTGCGCCACCTCGCCGTGTGGGCTACCACACACCCTCAAGGTGTGTGGACCATCCGCATAGGTGGCGCCTCGGGGTTGGGCAGTTGCACCACGTGGATGGTGCGACTGCCCCACTCAAGTTTCTCTCCGTAAAGAGAGAAACTAAATTTTCTTTTAAAAAATCAGATATAAATCAAATTTTAATTATCAATAATAATATTATAAAAATTAAATTATTCTACATATCTACCCCACCAATCCTACCCAAATCGCAATTATTTCCATCTTTTTTTCTCTCTCTTTCTCAAGTTTCTTAAAGTTAATACATATTTTATGTAATTCACATTTTTTATGTCATATATTTCATAAATTTTTATTAAATTTTACTAAAATTCCGATTTTTATTTAAATCATGCTGGGGCTTAATATAGCAATAGATGGCGAAATAGGCATGAATGACTTTCTAGAGACATACATGCCCGCAGGTCACAAGCAAACGAATAAAAGAGAAGGAAAAAAAAAAGTATTATATATCTATATATACACACACACACGTCCATCATTCTCCTAAGATATTCTTTTGAACTTTCCTCACAATTATATATACGTCCATCATTCTCCCAGGATACTCTTTTGAAGTTTCTTTACTATTATATAATCTTGGGAGAATGATGGATGGCTAAGATTCGGTCAAAGGCTGCTGTGGATCTATTCAGAAAGAGAATTGCAGATTGGATTGTCAGAGGTTGTCAGAGTCAAACATTCCTTCATTGTCGTGTCAATGAATCAAATTTTAACATTTGGTTGACGCTTCCTTAACCAATTCCAAGAGTTTCATTTTGTGTTGGCTTTTTCTTTCCGATTCTCTTTTAACTTTTTTATTATTGGGTTGCTACTTCGTCAAGAAAATAATGTAGTTCAAAATCAACCGTAAATATGTATCGAGTTTTCAGTAAATTGTATGAATTCTGTTCACATAAATTTACTTACACTCACTTATGGTGCTCCGTCCTCGTGTCCAACATGCTTTTGACATGTTATTAAATTCGTAGTAGATGCTACAAGGTTGGAATTGTCATTCACGAAAGTCGAGCTAGACTCTGTCCACATTTGATGGGAATTAAAATCAAATTTTTAGTAGATTTTAATAAAAGTTGATGATATGTATAATTGAAAAGTTGTAGGATCCATGAAGCATGTTATTAAAATTAATTGGTTATTTTGACTCAAATTAAAATTTTGATTTCAATTAATACCAAACAATGGCAAACTATTTAGTGAATTTGAGCTCCGTGAGTCTAGTTGAATTTCATGCAAAATTGAAGTTGAGCTCACGATGAGTATTGAATACCTTATTTCATTAGGTTAACAATATCATGATCCGATCGATCTTTTCATGCTTTTTGTTTGGCTTTTTTAGCTCAATGGCAATGGTTGGCCAACCTATCATGATAAAGGTTATCCAAATGTTCATAATCGATCCGTGTCTTCAGTTTCTACTAATCGACCATTACCTAAGTTTTATTATTCTATTTCCAAATATATATAAAGAGGGGTACCTGAATTATTTTTATCTTTGGTCGGATGATGGATAGTCCTACATAACCCAACTATTCTCATGGTCCATTTGACAAAACTTTTACTTGTACCTTTTGATTCCTCCTAGAAGAGATTTTTGAAAAATAAAAAATAAAAAAAATATTCCTCTATAAAAGTTCTTGTAGCCAAATAAAACATTCTCAAAAATTGTTTAAACATATTTAAAAATAATTTCTTAATCTGAAAAGCAATTTTTGACTTTTCAAAAACACTGCCAAACAAGCCCCCAACCTAATTTGAGCACGGGAAATTTTTATTTTAAATTAGTTCCCAGTTAGGTCAAATCAGCTGATTGTATTTGAACCAACTTTGATCAATGTTGTAGGGCTGCTTCAATTTCTTTTTACCAACTTTGATCAATGTTGTAGGGCTGCTTCAATTTCTTTTTACCAACTTTG